TGTGGCGACGCTCTCCACGGCGCCGCCGCTTTCAGCGGCGCCCTCCGTGGCACCGCCGGACTTCTCCTCTATACGTGCAGCAAGTCCTCCGACCAGCTGCACCAGCTGGCCCATTTGCTGTGTCAAAGAACTGATCTCAGACCGCATGCTGTCGATCTGCTCGCTGCTATTTGTGTCTCCTGCCTGCGAGCCGTCCGGAGTGGTCCCTCCGGTTCTGCGGCCCGCCATCCCTAATGGACTCCCTCGAGGGAATAAACACTAGTGTGTTGGTATGTCCGTACCTGGGAGGAGAAGACACGCTTTAACTCTCTCTGATTAGGCACCCGCGGGAGCGAGGAAAGGAAGGAAAGAAGTGGCCCTCCCGAATTCGGGGAAGGGGGCCCACACAGAGTAGCCTTTTTCAGGCATACGCATGCTCCTGTCTACGTACCCCACCCCCCGTGCTGCTAGCAGATCTATCATGCTCGTACCCAGACACACGAACACTCGTCGCCATTCGGATGGGAAGAACGGACAACCCACATGCTTGTTCGTGTGCTTACCAGTGGTTAGCAATCGCTTGGGTTTTTCGTTGCACCGCGCAAAATGGCATTTGAAGTTGACACCCTTGGCCGATTGTTCCTCTCTGTCTTGCCTCCCAAGTCCACGCGATGGTCCGTCATATCATCAGTATTAGTTGTATATTGGCATTAACTCCCAGAAGACTCTTGATAGCTGCCAAGAAGGTGGACCAAACCACGACCGAATTGGTTGAGCTGCGGGCGTAGATTGTCATTTGACTTTTGGAGTTATGGGTGAGGCACTACATCATAATTTCGTCGTTTCCCCGTATCGAAACGCTCGAGTGTTGGTTTTTCCATTGATCGCTACTGAATGGAACTGTTGTTTGGCAGGAGGTACTGCTCGATGAAGCGGGCCCGCCGTTTTGTTTGGGAGCATTCAACACGTTTGCTGCTGAGCAACTTGTGGACGAGAATGTCGAGTTCTGGGTTGAGGTGAGAAGGGGCACCTACGTAGGCATACATCAACATCGTTTGACGCATAACATCAACATTGTTTGACCTATGAAAATGGACCCATCTGGCCGCAATCGAGATGTTCCCATTTCTTGGGGGGATGTTCGACAGCGTCAAGCGTTCGGTAGCTGAGCCATGTTTCATACGTCATGTAAAGTTCGGGAAAAATAAAGGGCAATTGACAAAAGCGGAGATACCCCCGCGTGTTTAGGCACAGGATGGGGATTTTTTTTTGGTGTGGGGCGCAACGCCTGACGCCGGGTAGGCGCCTCCTTTCACCGCCATTTAGCGCTTTAACCCCATGCGCAAGGTCCTTATTTGAAAGAACGCCCAACTCTTTTTTGCTTACCCACATAGGGTTAACTACGGCCTGTACGAGGGGAGCTTGTTGGAGGACCCATTTTGTTCACGAAACCGCGGGGTACACCCCCCTGTCTGCTAACAGTTTATATCTAGTACCCTATTTTGTTCAAAAACGTACCCCATTATGTTCCAAGGCATACCCCCTTTTTGTTCAGTGGTGACGCTCCTGCGGACTGTCAAAATGACATCTAACAACCAATCGCAGACCACCGTAGTGTGGCGACAGAAGATGTTGAGGTACAGTGGTGTGCGGTGCAACATACAGGCTTTGTTGTGGTCTGCGGCGAGGCAAGGAGATGGAAGATAGAAAATATAGATATATGGTTGTCTGCGGTTGGTTGTTGGTTGTCATTTCGACAATCCGCGGCTGTGTCACCACTTAACAAAACGGGTGTATGCTTTGAAGATTGTGGGGCACGTTTGTGAACAAGATGGGGTACTAGATGAACTTGTAAGCAGACAGGGGGGTGTACCCCGCGGTTTCGTGGACATAATGGGGTCCTCCGATAAGCTCCCCTCTTCCAGCCCCTAGTAAACCTTGTTCCTGTGGGTGAAAAACAGAAAAAGTTGGGCGTCCTTCTACAGGACCTTGCGCATGGGGTTGAAGCGCTGGAAGGCGATGTGAAGGCGCGTACCCGGCGTCAGGCGTTGCGCCCTACACCGAAAAAAAAGTACCCGTGTTGTCAATTGCCCAATAATAAATGTTGGGTGGGTGAAACACGACAGAGAAAACATTTACGCCTTCCAAATAGCACGTTCACACTTGTCAAACCACCAGCGCGGGTGACATTCATAAACCCGCGGGTAATCAGAGTGCGGGTCTGGTTCTCTTGTGCCACGCAACACCAGCAATCAAGCAGCTCTCGTGCGATGTTGACGAAGTCAAAGGAATTGATCTTCTGTTTCACATATTCTCCGCCACCCCTAGCTTCGACAGCCGCGTCTGATTACGTGTGCGGCTAGCCGTACCTGTTCTCGGAAGCTATATTTTATGCTCTCTGCCTGCAGTCCATTAAAACGAGCTCAATTTTTCTGTTCTGCTCTTCCATCAACCGCGCGCGCGGGGGAGCTGTGTGACATCTGAAATACTCATCCAGATACACGTTTTGAGCGCGTCCTATAGAGAGCCCGAGAACCAGCATGGGTAGAGTTGGCCACGCACGGCTGAAGTATCGGCCGTCGAAGCTTGAGGGTGGCAGCCTGAAAGTGTTTTGTTTCTTTTTGGACTTGACGTTGTGAACACGCACGCCTCGACCCCAACCGATTGGCTAAAAGCTGATGCTCCTTACCAGCCAGGGTGTGCGTGCGTGACACACTGCTTGTGGTTCGTTCGGCAAATGGGTCGTGTGCACTGCGAATGGGTCAGATCGGGCCTCGGCACGTCGATTGGTTCATTGCTTTGAATACATGTTCTTGGCTCGGCACATCGACTGGTTCATTTGTTGTTGAATATATGTGGTACTTGGCTTACGACCATGGATTTTTTTTGCATTGAACGTTGACCATGTTCTGTTTCTCCGATACCTGTGCGAAAATTGACGTAAAAACTTTTCGTTATTAGGTTTTTAGCACACCCCTGCGCTGAAAGTTCGACCTGTGAAACAGTGCGTACGCCGCTCATGCCCGACATCGCAGGGGGCGAGCTCGAACGCGATGCGCTTCCAGGCGCTGGACAAGCGTACCCCCCCCGTACCCCTCCCCGTCTCGTAATCCTGGCTCGGTATGGAAGCGAAATGCCTGAATATCGCACTCTAATTGGAGTGGGGAAAATGAGATCACAGCCGTACCTGGACAGATGCCCGCGTGAATGAATTTTCATTACTGGCTTGTCTCTGCCACCCTGTTTTCTGTGATCGTTTTGCAGGTGGAAAAGTTCAAGAAAGCGGACGAAAGTAGCTGCCAGCAAGCAGTTACCGCCTTGTGCAGCAGGTGATATTTGCTTGTGATGACATGACCATGTACGGGCCTGGTCACCTTGATACACATTTTGTGTGGTTGTGTTCAGGTTCCGGTCCCTACTCATGTTCTTATTTCCTTGCTGATCCAAGTAACTCGGGCGCGGTCGGTGGTTACAGGTCAACTACCCCAAGAAATGGTACATACTTGTAGAAACAAACAAGATATATTGACTCAATCCTTAAAAACGATGGCTGATCATATGTGACAAACCGGGAGGCTAACAAACCCGGAAAAATACAAGTGAGCCATCCCTGCCGCTCGGCACGGATGCGGAGCAGAGCAAAGAATGCAACAAATAAAAGTAAAACATCGCGTCACGGAAAAACAAAACGAGAGTCGCCTGTATCTATCCTCGTGCCCAAACTAGGCCGGGGTGTATTCACCACCGGGGTAACACCGGCCAAGCCCTTTCTCTCCACACGTACACCTAAGAATATTGCGTGTGGGTGGTTCTGAGGTCACCCAACTGGACAAAACCATACAAAAAGTACAGATGGAGACACAACAGGTTGATGTTGTGATTGTTTTTGTTGTTGGTTTGCTGTTGTTTTGTTGTTGTTGTCTTCACATTGGATACCGTTCCGATCTCTCTAAGCGTTGCCTTCATCGGTCCGTACTGATAAAAAGCTTGACCGAGCGATTCCCGTGGTCACAAACTATCTTACCTTTCAAAGGCATACTCATTCAAATATTACGGACCCGAAGGGTCCGCAAGGCAATTTAAACCACGACAGATAGTCTGGAGCCCTCTGCTCCCCCCCTACACACACGCTATGGGGGGGCAGAAATGAACTGAACTCAAGGTCACAGGCCAGAGAGAAGGGTATATCCCCTGGTTCAACCTTGGTTCTGCACAGAGAAAGGGAGAAGGCCAACCGGGGAACGACGAAAGAGATGGAAAAGAACTATCAAGAAACCGAGGCAGGAAAAGTAGCACTTCGAAGTAGTAGAAGTAGTTAAAGCACATTACAAGCGACCAAACACAATCACAATCAGGGCCACAAGGAAAACCGAGGAATGCCATCATTCGTGGGGGGTGCATGCAATAAAAATAGTGCAGTTGGGGCGGGGGGGAACAGATGTATCGCTTTACTCGGCCTTTTCTCCTTTACTTCCTTCCCTCGCCGCCTCGTTCATCTGCTGCCCTCCTCTCTCTCCCGTGGTTGTTGCCATATCTGCACTGTTGCTGGTCTCCTCGTCGCGATTCAGTGCTCTTCGTCGGCTATTCTCCTCTTCGTCCTTGTGCCATGTGGTCATGAACCTCTCGGCTCCCTGCAGTATCCCCGCATGCCACGGTCGAAACTATATTCGGGACTCCGAACACACATGACTCGTCATCCGTGGATCCTTGTGTAGCCCTGTTCGCCTTGAAATCGCCTTCCAGGCACATCAGCCACTTCTTCTCCGGGCATCCCTTTTCTGGGTTCTCCCCCCCCCACCAGTTGGCCGAACATTAGCCGTTTCGGGAGTCGCCCGTCGGGCTGCCGTGCCAATGCTCCCGCGAACGGTAGGCGCCGTTGCCGAACAGTGGGTTCTACGCTCTGGCGCCTAACCCTCTTCAGGGTCCGGGTGTAGCAGAGTTGCCGGTAGATGCTGTTTATACGTTGGTACCCGATAGCTCGCAGGAGAAGCCGGCGGTCTATTTTCGACCGCAACAGCTGGTAGTGGTCGTGACGTGGGGCCCATGTCATGCAATCGTATGGCAGCGCCTCCGTCGCCTCCACCTGGAGCAGGCTGGTCTTGGGTCGAAACGGTGCTTTCGGTCTGCCAAAGAGCTCACAGCCACATCTCTTGACGCACGCCCACGCTGTTCTGCTCCTGTAGTTTATATCCCGCGTGAGGTCGCCATGTTCGTTGACGAGGCTACCTGGGTACCCGAACTCAACGCCG